GAAAACTTTCCCCCTTTTTTTTTTTTTTTTTTTTTTTAGTTAATCAGATTTATCGAGATGTAATTTATATACAATTCACCCTTTTTAGGGGTACTTGTGGATCAGTTCTAACAAATGCATATAGAATTGTAACCACCATTAAAATCTATATATGGTCGGGCCGGCCTGGTGGCGCACTGCTGTAGTGCGCCGCTTGGGAAGCGCGGCGGCGCTCCCTCCAAGGGTTCGGATCCCACATACAGACCGGTTCCCGCTCACTGGCTGAGCGAGGCGCGGGAGCAACACCGAGGGTTGCGATCCCGTTGCCGGTCCTAGTCCGGTACGGGGACGACACTGAGGGTTGCGATCCGTTGCCGGACACGGAAAAAGACAAAAAGGAAAAAAAAAATCTATATATGGTCTTTGTTGGGTTTTTTGTTTGTTTGGGTTTTTTTTTTTTTTTTTGTAGCTGGCTGGTATGGAGAACCAAACCCTTGACCTTGGTGTTACAAGGCCACGTTCTAAACAGTTGAGTTAACTGTCCAGCCTAGATATGGTATTTCTGTACTAGCAATAAACAATTGCAAATTGAAATGAAAACAAATTTTAAAAACTGTTCCTCTTATAGTAGTACAAAAACGTGAAGTATTTAGGTACAGATTGAGTATCCCTTATCCAAAATGCTTGGGACCAGAAATGTTTCAGATTTTGAGTTTGTAGAATATGTACTGGTTAAGCATCCCTAATCCAAAGATCTGAAATCCAAAGTGCGCCAATGAGCATTTCCCTTGTGTGTCATGTCAATTCTCAAAAAGTTTGGGATTTTGGAGCATTTTGGATTTCAGATTTTTGGCTTAGGGATGCTCAACCTGTATATTGTATGTTGAAAATTATACAGCATGGTGAGGGAAATCTTCTTTGTTGACAGTCATTGCTCCCCAAATTGATCTATAGCTTCAACACCATTCTCATCAAAATCTTAGTGGATTTTTGACAACTCAATTCTAAAATTTTTATAGGAAGGGCTGGCCTGTGGCTCACTTGGGAGAGTGTGGTGCTGATTATACCAAGGCCCTATATAGGGATGGCCACTTAGCTCACTTTGGAGAGTGTGGTGCTGACAACACCAGGTCAAGGGTAAAGATCCCTTTACCGGTCATCTTTTGAAAAAATAATAAAATTTATAGAAAAGTAAAGGAACTAAAATAGCTGAAACAATTTTGAAAAGAACAGCAAAGTTAAAAGACACACTATCTGATTGTAAGAACTTGCTTTAAAGCTGCAGTAATCAAAGACAATGTGGAATTGGTAAAAGTAGACACATAGATTAGTAACACAGTAGTATAGAAATAAACACATATACATGTGGCTAATTGATTTTGGCAAAGGTTACAAGTCAGATCAATGCCATATGTTACACTGTATTAAAAAAACAAAACAAAACAAAACTCCAAGTGGCTAATAGACCTAAATGTGAAACCTACAATTTACAAAGAAAATATAGCGGCAAATCTTAGTGGCTTTAGGGAAGATTTCTTATATGGGACCG